GGGGGGGGGGGGGGGGGGATAGCATAGCTCACCCAAGTGTAGGTTGCCGCAGTTTTTGACGCGACGCACCGGAATCTCATTTGGGACATGAGCGATGCTGCCCTGTTCGGGGGTGGCTGTCACTCTGTCCTCCGCCGCTTTCTACAATTGTACCGTGGTCCAAAAAACGAGAGTGCTCTTCTTCACAGCGACGCTGAGTCTTCCTCCACCCCGCTGCACGCTACTGTCTATCCTCTAGACATTGTGTGTACAGCAGGCGTTCGCCTTTCTGTCTACATGAACGGGGGGGCGGGGGAGAGACGGGCTGATTACACCCCTAACCTGGTAGCGCCAGACACGACGGTTTTGTCTTGAAATCGATCAACGTCCACCACAGAAAACAGAGGAAGGGGACAAGCAACAACGTGTTCCGAAAAAAACGGCATTCGGAAGGCGGACTTTGATCGAGAACGATGATGCACAGCAAGGCCTTTTTAGTGGGGGTGTTGGGCTGTTAGTGGGCGTTAGTGTCGCCTCAACGCAAGAGCACGAGGCATGGGGATTCCGTCCGCCGCACAAGCAGCACCACCGCCAACACGTACCGAACCACTTTCGCCATCATCACCCACAGCACACACACCACCAAAGAACACCAAATTCTTCGACAAACTCCACCCAAAGCACCCCTGTCAACAGAGCGTCAACAAGTAAATCGATAAAAGAACACCAGATTCTTCGACAAACTCCACCCAAAGCACCCCTGACAACAGAGCGTCAACAACAACATTAGCATCAACAACAAGCAAATCGCAAAAAAACACACCAATGTCTCACCTCTCCCGCAAAAACCAGATTGCTCTCGTGCCACAGCAACCTGGCGGGTAAGCTGTTTGATGCCCCCTCCTCCCCTTCCGGTTCCGCCCCCCCCTCCCCCGCTTCCCCTCCCTGCGCCTCCCACACGCTCGCCTCGTCTTTCGAACCGGACATATACCTGGCAAAAAACAGAAGCCGTAGTGGAAAAAAAAGCATGAACAAAGAGCAAATGCGAAATAATACATCATGAGGTACCCAGAGAAGGGGGCAGTGAACAAGCTGTGGTGATGTTGTCTATACCCTGTCTCATGTCTTGTCTCTCCCGCTGTGTGTTGAGCCTAGGGTGGTGGGTAGACACCTATTATACTGCACCTGCATTACTTGCCGCGACCGGCTGCGCTGGTTGAACGCGCACCACAGGTGGGTTTCACTTATCTCTCATTGTCAAAGTAGACAGGCAGCCGTGCCTTCTTACATGTGAGATGAATACCAATGTCACGGAATTCACGTTATTGGCCTCGAGGGGTGCGGAGAAGGGGGTGGGCGCTGAATGGGTTTATGCCATGGTACATCGGAACAGGTTTCCAATGCCTAGACAGCAACGTCAATAAGGACGCCGTGTATTGAAAAAACAAAACTCGGCAAGTCCTATAACAACTTACACGTGTAGATCGACTTTTTGCCCCCTGTTGAAGGTGCACCGATGGACCGATAGCTGCCTCCCGCGAGCGTCGTACTCGGGGAACTGCGGGATCTTCCTGCTCTGGAGGCCCATCGCTTCCTTCATCCAGTTTACGTCCTGAAAAAGGAATCAATCGTGAAAGCGCCGTGCACACCATGCGGCGCAATGGAAACGTTGTGAGTATATTCGACCATTTAGCACAAACCAAAACAGTTTCGCCTCTACCGCTGTCTTTGTTCTACAGCTCATATGCAACGACGGCGTAAACCAACTGTCGAACCTACACCCTCACCATGGGTGGTAAATAGTGCCGCCATTGCTGAGGTGGCTCTAACGAAAGTAGACTACGTATCTTAACCAATAGGAACTCACGCTCTCCTCCCCCTTAGGCAGCGGCTTGAGGACCTGCGAGACCTCGTCCTGCTCGCTCTCCTTCATGACCGCCACCGCCTCCTTAATCTGGTGCGTCTGGAACTGCTTCGAAAAGAACATGAAACTCATGTACAGCACCGCGACCTGCCACAATAATCCACGGGAGTGTGGGGGGAGTTGTGGGATTGGGGGGGGGGGGG